CCAGTGCTACTGCGCAGTAGCGAGAGTTACTGCACATTGACTTTGTACTTGGTTAACCAAGTACTAAATTTAATGCACAGGAACTACAGCACATTAATGAATGTGTAGATGCACCGTGTGAGTTTAACTGCTTTGTTTTCCCATTTTGCTCAGGACTTCATGATCTGTCCCATATTCATTAAGTTGCTAAATAAACTACTCATCAAAGCAAATAGTAGACAGGGATACAAAAAATAGCTTTAGACAATAAAAAAAACAATGTTTGAGTAGGGCGTGTTTCCGTTTCCCAGCAGTTATTTTATTTCTATATGGCCTGAGTGAGCACAGGTCACAAATTAAATCTGCAACTGCTGTTTAGCTGGATTGTTCTTGGTGAGCTAGACCAAGGGCTAGCAACCTACAGCCATGGGCTAGATCCAGTCCACCAAGTAATTTTAACCAGACCAGATCTCAGTAGGAATGTAATGGTTGGTGGTGTCAGTAATAATTCAGTGGCAAGGAGAATTGGTGGTGGGGGAAATGGCAGCAGTGGTTGAGGCCTAAGTGGTGGCCCTCCTTCAGATCAAGCTGTGTTAACTCAGCCTGCCACTGCTAAAAGATCGCTGGCCCCTGAGCTAGACTGCTTGAAATCCTGATTCTAATAACTCCTGCCCATGCCATTGTCAGGGTTTTGCCTTTTTGACACTTCTCAATGAAAGTAAGTTCCAGTCTGAAAAAGAAGGCTGCTGAACTCAGGAAGATGAAATCCATGTTATGAAACTTGTGGGGAGGAGGCAGGGGGGACATACACAGAGTCCGGTGGCATTAAGCTAGGTGCCTGGATTAAGGAGGCCTTCTTCATAGAGCTCCGTCTGGGAAACTGGCAATCTGTGAGAGCACAACACATTGTAGTTAAATTCTTTATTCTTGGCCTCCACTTCACCTTCTCAAAATGAATCTCCTGGAAATCAGGTTTGGGTCAGGCATGTGAAAGCTGATAGCAAGTTCAAGTTCAGGTACAATAAAGGTCTTATGCACAGAATGTGACAATTCTCTTTCTGGAGCTGCCTTCCTGTTTTATTAATGGAGGCCACATGATCACGTTCATTTGTATACTTCATAAACCTATAATGGCTTGCCGTATGAAGACTTCATAATCTGCATCTAATCTTGATCTTGTGTGTAACTCAACGCCTTTGCTACCTCTGACTTGTGAGAGAACAATAGGCCAAAGCCAAACAACCTCTTTTCTCTGCAGTAAAATGAGAGTGTGCTAATCATTTCTCAGTTATTAACCTATCCTTAGTTGATCTATAGAAGGAAGAATTGGTTTTACAGCACAAAAGCAGGCCCGTGTAGGAAATAATAGCATCATGCTAGGAAAGGTTCCACCTGCCTATAAGTAATACATCAGTTTTATATGACAGAAACCCAGTAAAAAAACAGCATGAGTAGACTGTATAGGACCTTTCTATATATTTCCTCCTACTCAGTGCTTCCTGTAATGTGTATCTTACATCAATCTTTTATGCCTATTTTAAAAAGATTATGTAGCATTTACATGAGCAAAAGTTTTATCCTGTATAGGGGTGAGCAATTTCTAGAAGGAACTAAGCACCTTCAATTTGCCATGACCCTAAGGAGAGAGAAGGGCATTCAACCCCTAACTATCCATTAAGGAGGAATGAAATAATTGGTCAACAGCAGGCCCTTTATTACTGAACTTAGACAACTTTGCCACATGGTATGCATTTTTTATTTTAAATTCAATTCCATTTAATTAAATGCCCCATGATCACCTGAGTTTTGCTTCTGATTGATACCCAGATTGCTGAGGTAGGTGATTTGAACTCTGGTGAGGTATCTCTAGTAGATTCTGGTGGGATGCATAACTGATCATCCACATGCTGCTGATCAGGGGATGGATTTTCTCTATCTAGCAATAGAAAAGAGCCCATTAGAGACCCAGAGCAGCCAGGGGAGAATTCCCACTGGTTCAGCCTTGGCATATGGCATCTTACATCTTACAGCCTTGGCATATGGCATCTTGTCCTCTGAGGGCCCCACTGCAAATCCTGGCATAGAGGACAAAAGAGCAGGATACAGAGGAAGAGATGGCTCTGAGTGGCACTGCTTCATATAGGCCAGGGAAAGGGAGGTGCTGGGGCAGCAGCCCTTTGTCTGTGTGTGGGTGTTGTGGGGGGGGGGAGGAAGGATGAGGGGGCAAAAACAGCTGCTGCCACAGCATCAGCTCATCTCACAGCCACCATCAGCACCATGGCAGCTGGCACTGCCTCATGTGTTGTAGCTGCCTTAGGCGCAGGACTGCCCTCTTATGTCTCTGCCTGTCTCTATTTGCCTAATTCCAGAGCTGTTACTCAAGGGGTCTGAGCATCCCCTTCAGCACCCATAACTGGGAAGGAGAAAAGTTGGCTTGAAAGTACTGCACCTTCACTTTCTTTCTATGGGCCATAGGTTTCCTCCTCTCTTAGGGACTCAGCAAAACATTCCAAGCATTCCTAAGCGAACTGGTTAATCAGTTAATGATTTGATACAAGCCTTTTAAGAAATTTAGCACTTGGGTTAAGGACAGAAATTACACATAAACTGGTATAAGAGATCAGAAACTGGTTCAAATCCATAACACAACAGAAGTTCAGTACACACAAACCATTTTCAAAATGGCTGGAACTGGTTTAAGATAAACCTGGATGGATGAAGTATTAGACTTAACTGATTTTGGTTAAATCAGTTTATTGAACTTCTGTCCCTGATCCCCTCCAGGTTCAAGTTAACTCACAGTCCCTGAGCATCCCAGGATGCTTTGAACCTTCCCTGCAATACCTTCCCTCGGAGATGGGAAGCTTCCCTTGCTCCAGCTGACTTTTGGCCTGGGCCAGTGCATGTCATTCTGAAAGTGAATGTCTGTTCACTTGCTTATCTGTTTGATCTACGCAGCTTAGACTAACCTACGAAAATCAAATCAATTCAGCCTTGGGCTTTTTGACTTAGCCCCGGTGTCAAACACTTATTTTTATCCCAAATTATCTTAGTAATGCAAACTGATCAGTCCCCTATAGTTAAAATGAACTATAATGTACATGATAGTCCATTGATTTTTTTTTTAAGATCAAATACAATGGTTTTTTTTGTCTGCACTTGATGAATAAAGTTCTGCTATAGAGACTTTCCCAAAGAACTGTTCCTGGCAAAACGGCTTCCGTTTCCTTTTGTTCTCAATGAGATTGAAGCTAAGGGTACTCTTTTTTTTTTTTAAATGCGCTTTTTAAAAAATAGACACGACCTTCTGGTGTTTCTAATACCCACACATTGAAAGTATATTAAATTATTTGAGGTACTCATGGAGATCAAATTTGCAGCAGAAATAACATTATAATTATCAAGATGGGAATACATTATCTATGGAAGCAGTTTACAGTACAGTGATTATAATTATATAGGTGTCACACTGCAATTATTGCATAATTACATTGTGATTTTTTTTGATACACATATTTACATTTAGCTCTTATAGCTGGAAGTATTACTGCAAGCTTGAAAATAAATATATTATAAATGTTATGTAATTAATGTACCTGAATCCAAAAAATACATGTATATGTTTGAAATCAAAGGGATAATAATATGTAATTCTCTTATGGTTTACCTTCTGATTGCACAAATTACTGCTAATTAGAGCTCAAAAACCATGAGCACATTTTATACTGTAATTACAAGTGTTGATTGCATTGTAGTTACAGTTGCTGTATTATAAAATGCAACCAGATTTACATTTAACCATTTTGGTGACCCTTGCAGTGCTCACTGGGTCCATGGGACATGTTGTGTTGGGGCAAATTCAATAGAACGTGTTAAATACTTGTCTATAGGCCTATACAAGTAGCTGCTGGTCTCTTTTTTTTACTGGATGTGTGCCAGATGCTCAGAGGGCAGCAGAAGCAGTTAACGATTATAGTGAACACACATAACCAGGAACACCTTCATCAGAGATAAGTCTTTAATCATGGCAGGAGAGTTATTGAAAAGGAAATACAATACACACTAGAAATGGAAAGCAGAATTGCTTTGGGCCATTGTTTCACAATTTTGGTCTAGTCTGATGACTATTGGTCTGACAGGGTTAGAATTGCTATCAATGAATTGCAAGAAGTTTGTAGAATGCAAGAGAAAACTGTCATAAAACAGGAGTTGGGGACAGAGGCCTAAAGTAGGGTAAAAACTGTCACCATGCAGCCTTGACTTATTGCAGATACTGTTGAAGACAGCATATTAAACTTTCTGTTTGATAGCCATGCCTTTCCATATCAGATATTAAAGTATTAAAGTCAGAGTATTAAAGTCAGGAGGGAATAGAGCGATGCAGAAATTGTTAGCATATGAGAGAGGTTCAAAAAGAACAGAGCTTGGAAGGAGGAAAGACGGTGTTTATTCCAAGTGCCTGATTCTCCCCTGGTAGAAGGGACACCTATTAAAGTCGGTGCTTGTTACCTGTGTCTTACACAGAGAGGCTATGTCTGGGGGGTCTGAACTGATGTGATCAGCAGCTCTCACTATTTTGCTTAACCACATGCCCTCTCTCTATCAGCTCTAACAAGTGCTCAGCTCCCTGAGAGATTCACTCCCCCAGCCACGCACCCCAGGCGCTGATTCCTCACTGATCTGTACCTTAGGCACTCATTTACACCAGTACAAGACACTACTGTTCCAGTGTGATAGCAGCGCACCATCCCTCTGCCCAGGTGTAATGGCAAACATACAAGGTGCTCACAAGGGAGAATTAACCTACTCTGCAATGGAAACAAGCTTTCCTGTTCTTCTCTTTTCACTAATGCTCCCTACTGGGGGATGTCAGAAATAGTAGTTGAAACACAGAAAGATGTTTAAGAGCAGAACAAAGCGATTTGCCTGAAGGCTGATCCAGTGGTTTAGGTACCAGGAGCAGTCTCCTCCCCTGTGTATTAACCCCACCTCTCTCCTACTGTGGGCTATTTTGGGCTGGCAGTGTGAGCTGCAGCTCTGACAGATGAGGATACTACACTACAGCACAGCCCAGCAGCACTTGTTGCTCTGAAGAACTGTTATAAATATAACCGTGTTTCTTTCTTGGCCGGCTGCATTTCTTTTTTATTTATTAGACTGGAAACTTATTTTCTTCACCGGAGGGGAGTTCTAGCAACACAAAAGACATGTTTTAAAAGCTTTGTGGGAGCTGTTCGTGAAAGGAAATCTAGCTGCTGTTCAACTGAAACCTTCTTTTGCCTTTTAATATAAGGAGAACAGCTCCTGGCTTTGGAGGGGTGGGGGCTGAAAAATGACAGACTCTGGTGCTGCAGATGGGGAAGGAAAGGACCCTGAAATTGAGCTCTTTGTGAAGGTAAGTCGCACTCTGACCCTGTCAGACTCTCCCATCAGCTGGGCTTTTATTAAACAGCCAAACTTTCACTTTCTGGCACAGTGCCGTAACAGCACTTTGACAGCAAACACTGTCACCAGGCTGCACTTCCCATCCCTAATGCTAGTAGTGAGGTAGTGTTGTTGAGTGCGAGCCAGCGTGCCTTTTCTGTTTTATTGTTTGCCTTCTCTTTGTACAGCTTGCCCTGCATTTTGCTGGCATGCTGCCTGCACTCTGCCATGCCCTTGCCCTGCCTTGCTTTTCCCTATCTGTGCCAGGCAGGGAGTGAAGAAACAGGATCAGGGGCTGCACAGAGCAGCCCCCTGAAAGAGGTTGACAGGCACCACTGATCTCCGGCAAGGCAAATAGTGATCCCATTACCCTGTCAGTTTTTTATCTCTGTCTTTCATTATCGCTCAGAAGTGAAGAACAAGCCAGATTTCAGTCCTGCTTACATGGATGTCAGTCTGGGGTAAGCCCATTGATTTCAATACTCTGGATTTTTACCAGTATAACTAGAAGCAGAAACTGGCCTGATGGCAATATAAGGCAGTAAAGGCACTTGTATAACAGGATTCCAAATGATTTAATGTCCTTGAGAGTTGCTGTGGGTCATGATCCTGCACCACTCAGATCCTTGAGAGTTTTGCCATTGATTTCAAGGGGTCTGGACTCCAGGCCACAGTGCGTACAACTTTATTAATAGCAAACTTAATGCAAAATGTATCTATGTGAGGAGCTCTCATTTGGTGACCTTTAGGGCATATTGCAGAGCTTCTCTCTGTTCATTTAGGGTGGAATCTACTGAGGCTAAGTTAGTTCCTATGAAATAAATGGAAGGATCAACTTTGATTTTAAATGGAGTTAGATCAGGCCTTTGGAAGGTGTCGTGTGGAGCAACTAGAGGCAAAACTGAGCAGATGTATATGCCTGGGCAGTGGGTGGGCTGTCACCAGCAGTGCTAGTGCAGGCTGGCAGCAGCGATGGCTGCTATTTTTGTACCTTCCCCCAGCAAGTCAGGACCTGGGGGTGGTGCCTCACTCGCTCCCCTTATTTTTGCTAGTAAGAGCAAAAGGGAAGGAGGAATCTTTGCACCAAGCCAGATTCGGGCTCCATGATGCTGGGCTTTGCAAGACTGCTGTTCCAGTCTGCTACCTGGAATACACACCTACATTTACAGTGATTATCTGTAGCTTCTTCACTTGTCTTCCATCACCCCATCCTTTACTCTGGTCTTTCATTCAGAACCAGCATGGAGGTATTTTTCATAGCAGGTAGCAAGTGCACAAGAACTCCTGGCTGATCACTAACCCAGCAAATTCTTCTTTCTGGGATTAGGTGCTTGCTCTGGCCACCTTGTTTCCTGGAGTGTCTCACCCCAGGCATTTTCTGCAGGAATCGGTTGAGTGGAGATGGTTGTGTGCTGGGACAGTGGCGGTGCTTTGTTGTCATTCTAAATGTGCCCTGGAATGTGAGACTTTACTTGATTGCTTGTTCTGCTTAGAAATGGATGCTGAGCCTGGAGTGGAGTGTGTGAGATGCATTCTCCGGCTAGGATCAGTTACTGCAATTTGGACCATTTTTATAAGGCTCAGGGGACTTCACTGGGGTTAGGTTGTCACCCACAGATTTTTAAGTCTGGAAAGGAGCATTATGGTCATCTGGTCCATCCTCTTGCATAACACAGATCATAGACTTTCACCCAGTGGCTTCTGTATGAAACCCATACGTTGTGACTGGGTTAAAGAACTATGGCTGCATCCTCACATTCAAAATAATCCTCCAGCCCTCAACCATTTGAGTTTGAAAAATGTTGTCTTTAGGAATTTAAATTATTTGAATCATTAATGAATATTGAGTTTACTTGTGGTTTTGGAGAGGTGGTACTTACCCATGTTAAAAATCCAAAGAATGTAAGTAGTAAAAAAATAACTATCACATGAAGAAGCATGCTTTACAGAGTTCCATAGTAAATAGTAATAGCTACGAGTTTGAAAAACCAAGATGAGATGTAGAGACAAATCAAGGAGTATAAATAATGGGTAAACAATATGATTGCAGGTGTAGTTAGAGATGGAGATCTGGTGAGGAGGAGAGATATAGGAAGGCTTGTCCAGAAGGCCCAAGCCACAAAGGAAAAGGTACTTATACCAGCTATGGCAAAACTGTGTGGAAGGACAGAAATATGGCAGTTTGTAGTATCATACAATCCTAGAGTTGGAAGGGACCTCAGGGTCCTGACCCCCTGCACGAACGCAGGATGTGCTGTTCCTAAACCATCCCTGCCAAATGCTTGTACAGCCTCTTCGTGAAAACCTCCATCAGAGGATATTCTGCAGCTTCCCAGGGCAGCTTCTGATGATAAAGTCCAAAATTGCATGTGCTTGTTTTGTAGCAGCATCCCATTTCTGACTTAGGTTGAATTTAGGGTCTGCCACAAACCCTCAAATCTTTATGAGCTGTGTTACTGTGCTTCTAATTATCCCCATTCTGTATTTGTGCATTTGGGGTTTTCTTTCCTAAATCTAGCATCTCTGTTGAATTTTGTTTTGTCACATACAGGCCAGTTCTCCAATTTGTCAGGATACTTTTTGTAGCATAGCTCCAACGTGTTTTTAGCTCCTTCTAGTTTTGTGTCACCTGCAAACTTGATCAGGGACCTCTATTTAGCATCCACTTCATTCATAAAAATATTAAACAGCACCAGACCCAGAGCAGACCCGAGTGAAATTCCACTTGAAACATCCTGCCATCGATCCATTTATAGTTACTTTTTGCTTGCAGCTATTCAGATAGTTATGTATCCCCCTAACAGCAAGAGAAGCAGAAAATGTTGAGAGGTGTGTTAGCAAATGAACAAGAGCAGCTTGAACAAAGCTTTAAGAACAAGGACTGAAATCCTTGTTCCACTGAAGTCAATGGGGTATTTTACCTATGATTTTAGTAGAGCCAGTATTTTAGTCAAGGTAAGGAATGGTTGTAGAGCCAAAGAAGTTATGTGAAAGTGGAGTGAATGGACACCTGTGCGTGTGTGTGGGGGTGGGGGTTGGTCTGTATAGGGAGTGGAACAGCCTATAAGCAAAAACAAGCAAAACCGAATGGCAGTTCATCAGTCGGGCCCTAATATGATTGGCTGTTGGCTAAGGAGAGAAAGCTGCACGATTGTTGTATTTTCTCTTTCTGTTAAGATGCTGCTAGAAACAGCTCAGCTTTATGGGCTTCCAAGGTAAGAGAAAACATTAGCAAGGCAGGTGAGTCAATGGCTGTAAATAGAGGAGGAATGCTGTAACTTAATGCAGGCTAGATACCTTCTGAAACATGCAGTAGTTTAGCCAGCACTGACAGCACTTTGGTCAGT